CTGATCATACAGTAGGCCACAAAACAACTCTCAACAACAATTTAAAAAGACTGGCTCCTGTCTTAGGTCTGGCCAGGCTCAGCTTTTACAGCCACTGGGAGAGTTAACAAGTAGATGGGATGGACGATCTCTTCATCTTGGCCACTCTCTCTGTCACTCTTCATTTCAAATACATACAATTAATCTTTTTTAAAAAAGTCACTTGAATGAGACACAAAAGAAAAACAATGGTTGCTACAGAAATAGAATCAGTCAGAACTATTATGAACATATACCCACAAATCAGGAAATTTGGAAGAAACTGATAAATCTACAGGAACATGTAATTTGCCTAAATTGAGTCACAAACACATAGAACACTTGAACAAATAACTGGTAATGCAATAGCTCAGGACCAAATGCCTTCACTAATGACTTCTCCCAAACCCCCAAGAAACAGCTAATACCAGTTCTTGTCAAATTGTTTTGAATTACTCCAGTAGTATTTTGATAGGCCAACAGGCTCTTTCTTGGCTGAGAAAGAACTTGATGAGAACAATTCCAGTCAGGGTAACTACAGAAATACACACAGGGGCGGGAGCAGTGAAGCAGGCTGATCCTCTGCTGCAGCACTGGCATCCCATATGGGCACTAGCTCATGTCCTGGCTGCTTCACTTCCCAACCCAGTGACTGGGAAAGCAGTGGAGAATGGCCCAGGTCTTGGGAACCTGCACCCATGTGGGAGACGAGGAAGGAGTTCCTAGCTCCCAGCTTCACAATGGCCCAGCTCTGGCCAATGCAGCCATTTAGAATGGAAACTCTATGTAACTCTGCCTTTCCAAGTAAAATAATTTCTTTCAAAAATACACACAAAAAATACATAAATACATACACACCCTGGCACAAATTTAAGGATGAAAAGAGATTTGCAACGAAAATTAAGAAAACACTGAAGAAAAACCTGAAGATACCCAACAACAAAATGAAAACAATGCCAAAGAAAGAAAGAAAGGAAGAAAGGGAAAACCCATGTATAATCCCTCTGCCCCAGGGTCTGCACTGGCAGCAAGTCGGACTCAAGAGATGAAGCTAGCATGCAAACAGTCACTCTGATGTTGGAAGGAGGTCACTATGTTAGCCACCATGTTAAGCGCTAGCTCCCTAAACCACATTTTTTTTAAAATGATGAAGTTACACAGTTGATTGGGGTGGGAAGGATTGAGGGTTAGGGGAAAGTGGGTGAGATCATTGTTTCCAAGTTTCCTTTTCTCCTCCTGTCTCTGGGGGCAAGGGAGGAGATGAGAAGAGAAGCTGCACTCAGCCTTCCAACTGCCTCAGTACCTGGGGTGGGGAATGGCCACCCAATATCATACCAGGGTCCCAATGGGAAGCATGCTCTGCAGGTTCTGCTCAAGTAACTTTAATAGTTCTGAAATGCTGTTAGTTTTATTGCTTCAAGGATGAGGAAATCCATCCAAGGACCACTGGCTGACACAGTCCACCTTAGAGTTTCCATTCGCCCAGATATATGCTGTCAACACTTGGCTGGGCTAGTTGTCCAGTTTGCTTTGCCCTCCTTCCTCTGCTGTGGTAGCAGATGTCCACTGCACTTCCCAGTGGACTGGCATATCCTCCATGTGCACCTGGGTATGCCATCCATTACTCTGCCTTAGCTATTGTGGAAGCCCACTTCTGATACTTGCACTCCACAGTCAGTCCACTGGTCCTAGGATTCAACACACGGTTGCAATTCTGAGTGCAGTGGTTCAGTTGGGTGAATCCCACAGAGACTTCGACTCTGCTGAACCCAGACCTGACTCTGTGTGTGCTTGCCAGTACAGGGTCTGGCTTAGTCTGACAACACATCAGCTTGTGCTGGGTCAGTTCTGTGTCAAGCCCACCTCTTACACAAACAAATGGATGCTTCAGTCCAGCCCAACCCAGCCCACTACACATTTGATCCTCAAACATACCAGCAGGAACTGTAGCCTAGTCAGAGTGACCTCCCCAAAATCACCATCAATGTACTTCTCACTATGTGCAGCAGACTGCTCCTGTCTGACACCATCCCATTCAGCTCTTGTATACATCAATGGGCGTTTTAGCCTAGTTCAACCCAATGAACACCGTTATCCAGCCCACACTCATTCCAGTAGATGCCACTGCTTGGCCAGACAGTCCCACCTGCAGCCCTGCTTCTCATGCTTACCTGTGGGAGTCACAGCTCATTAGAGAGGAGCCCACAGTTTCCCTACTGGGAGATCCTGCACTCTCCTGGTGGTTCTGCAGTCTAGCTTGACAGGAGTTGCCCCTAGTCCCAGCATTTGCCAGCCCTGACGCTGTGGCAAAGCCCGGGCAGCCTGCACTTCTTCTGGCTCATGCATGCACAGTGTTTATAGTCACTTGACCTTGCTGCCTTTCCCAGCTCACATGCAGCCCTATGGGTATTGGTCTGGCCTGGTCTGCCCTCAGTCCCAGTTCTCACTCCCACCAGTAGGAACCCCTGCTGCCACCCTATCATGCTAACCCACCTCTCCCTGGTCTCACATGTACTGGCGGGTGCTGCATCTGGTATGGCATGGCCTGCCTCATCTTGGCATTTGTCAGCTGATGCTGCAGCCTGGCCTGGCATGTTTTGTGCCTAATTCTAGCTCATGCTGGTGGGAACTGCAGCCTAGCCTAGCCTAGCCAGCCCTCAGTCACAATCCTAAATGTGAACTGGCTGCTGTTACAGCCCGACTAGGCCTGTCCTGCACCCTGTCCTGGTTCTCAGCTCTGCCAGTGGCTGCCAAGAACGGGTGCAGCCTGGCCTGCCCCCATATCTGAGCCACAGGTATGCTGGTGGGTACTGTAATCAGGCCTGGGCTGGGCTGCTCCCTGCCCTGGTTCTTGTGCTTACCTGCAGGGACTGTGTCCCGACAGAAGTGTTCCCCAAGCTCCTCTATCAGATCTCCTCCGAGTTCTTTCAGAAAAGCAGAAATTACACCATCACATGTGTGTTCTCAAATAGTCGGAGGTGTCCTGGCTTGAAGAAAAGATGAGACTTGCAGTTAGATGATGATACATTAGGAAACCTTAAACCAACCTGAAACAGGAAAAAATTGACATAGTGGCAGACTACCCATACTTCATGTATGATTAGATGAGAGCATAATATGCAACAGAGACATTAGGATAAGTTGACTTGAATTTGAAAAAGAAAATCTCAAGGAGTTACTTTGGGATGAAACCATCATCCTCACTGCTAACACTCTCCTTAGGAATCCACACAAATGAATCATTGCAACCAAGGAAATCCAAATGCATGGAGTATCCTAATGCATCAATGAAAAACGTCCTCAGGTTGTTGATTAAACTACAAAAATCCTTCCAAAGCAGCTGGAAGATGGCCCCAGTGCTTGGGCCCCTACCACCCTCAAGGCAGACCCTGATGAAGTTCCTGACTTGGGCCTGGTCCAGCCCTGATCTTTGAGCCATTCGGGAACCACAGGGCAGCTGAAACATTTGTCTGTCTCTCCTGCTCTCTCTGCAATTCTTTATTTTTTTTAATTATGTTAGCTTTTTTATTATTTTATAATATATTTCAAAAAATGACCTTACAGATGTCTTATCTGCTCTATAAGACCTGGAATAAAAGAACACTTAGAATTAGAACACAGAGACATTAAGCTGTAATACTCACTTGTACTGAACCATTACTACCAAAGTGTAAGTATTTTTTTTAAATAAGCAGATGTGCGGCTATGCAAAATAAAATACAATCTTGTTAAAACAGAACAGTAAACTTGACTTTATTGGCTATAGAAAGGAGGTGGTTTTGTTTTCTTTCTTCAACACATCTGGTTCTGGCAGCAAGTTGCATTATACATTTAAAGCAGTGTGTGCCCTGAAAGCTCATAGCTTCTGTTTGTGCGTATAACTTGGATCAGAGACCAGACACATGGAAAAGCACTGTTCTCAACACCCTCAACATCTCTCCTTCCAGGAGGTCACAATGCTAACAAACTCAAGACTTTCCTTGCTGATGGTACTTAGTAATTGTTTTAATCCAGTTAACACTGGATGTTTTAATATTCTCTAAAAGAGAAGTGATGAAAGCGTGTAGAAACCCTCCAGGGTCCAATTTTCACTTCCCATTCCCCAAGTAGTAAAATAGCAGCTCTACATGTTATAAAAAAAAACAGAGATCATTTCAATTTCTTATTCGTTTTTTAACCATAGTAACTTTACAATGCTTTTAGATTTAGTTGAATTTCCAAAATGAAAATGTCAGTTGTCAAATATTTTAGGAATTTATTAAAGTATTACATACAATTGATTTCCTTTTAGCTACCCCTCCCCCTCAAAAAAGTATATATGGTGTATGTGTGTGCATTTACTTATCTTACCTTCACTAAAGTTCTCTTTTTCTGGTTGGACATGAGAAACCAGTTTAAGCAACCAATGCTTGCTTTTATTTCTATTATAAGCAGTAATTCAGATCTTTTTTCACTAAATATGACTGCAGCATTTTCATAATAAAATGCACAAAAGGCAATACCAAAAAATGCCTTCTGAACAGGCTTCTGCCAGGCAACCCACGGAAGTTAGACTCTACCAAAGTGGCACTACGACAATATAGGCATCCAGTTTCTTTTCCTTTTTTCAAATTTATCAGTTATTTACCACAATTATTTTGTCTAGTAGGAGACAATTTCATGCTGGACTTAACTCTTAAGAGTTGACATAAACCAAACCTGGACAGCAGTCAACTAGAATCACATTCCAATGGTCTCCAAACATACTTGGCTAAAACACATCTTTTCTTCTCCTTGATTGATTTTGCATTAATTTTATTAAACGTATTGCAAATAACATTTCAAAGTTTTTCTCAGAGCTTTTTCTTAGGGGACTCTGCAATTCTTGCCAACAAGTACCTGGTGAACTTGTAGACAGCGCTGTTCCTGGCTCCCCAGCAGGTGGCGGCCCCGCGCCCTGGCCGCACGCCCGCTGCATCCCGCCGGCAGCAGAGGCTCGCGCGGCCCGGGAGCGCTCGCCCCGCAGCTCGGGCGGCTGGCAGGCGGGCTGGCGCCGGTCGCGTCGGCCGGCAGCAGGGCCCATGTGGAAGCTCCTCCCGGCCGCGGGCCCAGCCCGAGGTAAGGACAGAGAGGGACAGAGGGCCCGGGTTCGGAGGAGCGCCAACGCGGGGAAGGAAGTCGGGGAGGGTCGCTTCCGGTCGGGTCCCCTTACCTTCCGGGGCACGGCGGAACGGGAAGGAACCCGGGGGTCTGGCACGCGCGTGGTGGTCCCGGCTGCGCCGTGGCGGGGAAGGCCGGCTGTCCTCGGCCCCGGGGTTGGGCGGGTGGACGCCCGGCCCTGTCCCGCGCTGTGCAGTGGCCGTGGGACCCCGGCGCTGTGCAGTGGGCATGGGCGGTGGGGCGGCTGGCCCTTCGCTGAGCCCTGGCTGAGGTGGCTGAGGAGAAACAGGTGCACGGAGAAGCTGTCTGTTGTTTCAGACGCGTTTCCGTGCTGTCAGCAAGAGGGGACAGCCCAGACTTTTTCTTTTTGAAAGAGAGACCAGAATCTTGCATCTCCGAGTTCACTGCCCTAGATGTGTCCAACACTGAGGCTGGTCAGGCCCAAGCCAGGAACCCCGGGATGCAAGGGCCTCAGTTGCTGTCTGTCAGAGTGCGCCTTGGCGGTGCTGGGCTGGACCCCCTGCACAAACCTGGGATGCTGGTGTCCCAGGGGAGCTGCAGTAAAAGCCAGGCCACTTCACCCCGCCCCTTTCTTGTGTGTCTGCACTTCCCTAGTGGAAGTTGCTAGTTGCCTGCCTGCTGTTTGTGGTCCTTATTGGCTGATAAAACGGTAAGCCAGTAAACCCATGATTACCTGTGTGCTCAGGGTGTTCACATTGTGATTGGGAAAAAAAGGGTCTCCCGAGATGCAGTGTTGACTGGCTATGTAAAGAGGTTTAAAGAAAAAAAAAAAGAAGGTGATTTCTTTATTTCACTTGAATAAGAGCAGGAAAGACAGAGAAGTCTTCCATTCTCGGGATGGCCTTCATGGCCGGAGCTGGGCCAGTGCAAAGCTGGGAGCCAGAAGCTTCGTCTTGTCTCCCATGTGTATATAGGGGTGCAGGAAACTTGGGTCATGCTCCACTGCTTTCCCAGCCAGAAGCAGGGAGCTGGATGGGAAGTGGAGCAGCTTGGGGTTGAACCAGTGCCCACATGCGATGCCAGCACTGCAAACTGAGAATTAATATGATCTGACCTCTGAAGGACTTTTGTAAATACCAATACAGGCATTCCTATGAACTTGCACCAGTGCAAGGCCAGACCATAAAGATTTCAGTTTGTCTCATGGCCCTCAGGGTTCCTGTGGATGTGTGGAAAGAAGACAGACCTGAGACAAATTGAGTTTGGCACAGCATACCTGAGGAAAGGCTTCATGAATCAAGGTGTGGCCTGAGCCAGTGGAGGTTGAGAGAGCAGTACCCAACAGTCCAGCAGACGGTAGGAGGTGACTTCCAGAAACAGCAGGATTGGTTAGTTGCAGCTTACTGTTGGCCTGGTCTGAGCGTGCAGTGAGAAGGCATTTGCCCTGCAGGACCTGGTCTGAGTAGGTGACAGGCTGAGACTTAGCCATCTGTTACAGGGATAGCACTGCTCAGGGCAGACATTTGGCACTGTATAGCAGGGCTAGCCTGGGAGTCCTGTTCAGCCTGTCTCCAGCTGTTGGGTAAAGTGCACCCTTGGCCACAGCTCAGAGTTGAGTTACTGCCACCTGTGGGCAGACCTAGCTTGAGTCCAGGGCTCAGATACCCTGGATGTTTGGGCAGTAAGTCAGAACACGTATCCCTGTCCCCCAAATAAGTAAAGTAAGGTAAAAATTTACAAACGAAGAATAAGGGCTGGTGTGATGGCTCAACTGGCTAATCCTCAGCTGTTAGCACTGGGATCCTATATGGGCACGAGTCCTTGTTCCAGCAGCTCCACTGCCCATCCAGCGCCCTGTTTGTGGCCTGGGAAAGCAGTCCAGGACAACCCAAAGCCTTGGGACCCTGCACTCAATATGAGAGACCTGGAAGAAGCTCCTGTCTCCTGGTCTCAGATCGGCACAGCTCTTTTGTTGTGGCCATTTGGGGAGTGAACTAATGGATGGAAGCTCCAGTCAAGTTCATATTGGGACTTTACTTGGGATTTCAGTAAATGTATACTTTGGGAAAGTATTAATTCCTTTCACTGTTGTTATTCCTTGAAAGAAATGGTATGCCCTTGCATTCATGTAGGTGATCTTTTGATATTCCTCAAAAGGGGTTAATAGAAAGTGTGAGCTTAATTTATGTAAAACTGATTAACATTGAAATAGCAAACTAAAATGTTTTCTTGGCATATCATGAATTTTATCCTATATAATGTACACATTTATGTATGTGTGTTTGTGTCTCATTATTTTATTCCTCTTAGAACCATACAGACTTTTGACTGGCACTGAGTACGTCGTTGGAAGGAAAAACTGTGCTATTCTAATTGAAGATGATCAGTCAATCAGTCGAAATCATGCAGTGTTAAGCACTAATTTTGCTGTGACCAAGTTGGTATGTTCCTGATTGTATTTTGCTAACTTGCAGTGAGAGTTGAAATCAGTATATTGCCTTGATGTGAGAGAGAGAGAGCTGTTTGAGCATTTTATGCTTTTGTTTCAGTGACTTAGAAACTTGGAGAAAGTAAGTTGTATTTGTATTTGTTTACTTAACAACATTGACTGTTCCGTGGTGAGAGTTATTGGGCTTAGCTGTGATACATTCCTGATGCTCGCTCTTAAAGAGAGTATGTGACTGATGGACACAAAGTCTGGGTGTGTAAAGAGAGGCTCCGCAGTGGCAATGACGGTTTTCCCGGGAAGACAACTGTTGCTTCTGATCCACAGCTCTTTTGAATGGCTTGGAAGGTATTTGTTAGCTTTCACCAGAACCACGGGTGATGAGAGTGATAAAAATATATGAATAGGGCCCGGCGCAGTGGTGCAAGTGGTTAAGGTCCTCGCCTTGCACGCCTGAGATCCCATATGGGCACCGTTTCTATCCCTTCAGCCCCGCTTCCCTTCCAGCGCCCTGCCTGTAGCCTGGGAAAGCAGTCGAGTATGGCCCAAACCTTTGGGACCCTGCACACGCATAGGAGACCTGGAAGAGTCTCCTGCCTTCGGATCGGCATAGCATCGGTCGTTGCGCTCACTTGGGGAGTGAATCATCGGAAGGAAGATCTTCCTCTCTGTCTCTCTGACATGGTGTGTGTGTGAGTGTACAGTGTGACATGGTGTGTGTGTAGTGTACAGTGTGACATGGTGTGTGAGTGTACTGTGTGATCATGGTGTGTGAGTGTACAGTGTGACATAGTTTGTGAGTGTACAGTGTAACATGGTGTGTGTGTGTGAGTACAGTGTGACATGGTGTGTGTGTGTGTGAGTGTACAGTGTGACATGGTGTGTGTGTGAGTGTACAGTGTGACATGGTGTGTGTGAGTGTACAGTGTGACATGGTGTGTGAGTGTACAGTGTGACATGGTGTGTGTGTGAGTGTACTGTGTGACATGGTGTGTGAGTGAGAGTACTGTGTGACATGGTGTGTGTGTGAGTGTACAGTGTGACATGGTGTTTGTGAGGGAGTATGTCCTGTGACCCTGGTCTGTTCCCTGTGTGAGCCCGTGTGTCCTCTCCTGGCCCTTTGTTTCACACGTGAGTCAGTCCCCCCAGCAGCCTTGCTGATTGGAGCGATTTTTCCTTCATGGCTGGGAGGCTCAGGGCACAGGTTCCCCCTTCGGTCATGCATGCCTGGGCACAGCTACAGGAAGGCCTTGCAGCAAAGCAGTGCAAACCCCAGGTATACCGCAGTCCCCGCCCGTAAGGGTTCTGAGGTGTCCTTCCCTGGGAGACACCATGTAGGACACAGGCCAGCACTTCCCTCCCCAAAGTACCTCCACTCCCCCAGCCCCAGGGAAGCCAGCAGCTCAGCACCCAGCAGGGCTCCCCAGGGCCAGGCAGTGCCAGGAAACACCAGGCAGTGCCAGGCAGCTACGGGTTTGTGGCCCTGACCTCAGACACCCAGACCTTCCGCAGCACAGGCTCCTGGTCACAGACACATTGAGCGAGGACAGAGCGGGTCTCCCTACAACCAGCCGAGGCTGTGGCGCCCCAGCCCGATGCTTTCCAACATCCCTCCGTTACTGCCCAGTTCCCCTCCAAACCCCGCTGCGGCCTGCTGCTGCGGCTAGGAGCCCAGTGCGGGTGCAAGGGCAGAGCAGAGGGAAACACTGGGAGGCCGTCAGCCAAACCAGGGCTGGCTGGAGAGAAGCGGCCTTAGGAAGTGCAAGCCGGGGCCAAGGAGGGACGTAGCAGTGGCCTGGACAGTGTCCCCAGTCCTGTCCGTGGGGTGTGGAGACATTGAGCGTGCGGCCGACAGCCACACTGAATACAGAAACCCACTTCTGTCCAAGCTCAGAAAACAAATGGCTTAGACGTTCTGGCCACTTCGTGCCACAGGGACAGGTCGCCATGCCGGGCTGAGTCCCCGGGCCTGGAAGCCACTGGACTCGCTGGACAAGCCCCAGGCAAGAAGCTCTCTCCTGCTGCTCCTCTCTGACCACTGCCATCACCCTTACAGCAGCTGGGTCCCTCCTGTCCCTCGGTCCCATGGTCCAGGGCCTGCACTCTCCTCCCACATGGAGGAGTTGAAGGAGCTGAACCTGGACGCGACCCCGCAGCAGGGGTCCTCACTAGAATCCGACGAGAGACCTGACAAGTGGGCCGCTGACGCTGTCACCTGCATCCTATACTTCCTGGCTTGTTTCGCCCTGCCCACCTGCACTCAGAGGCAGGTGCAGGCTTCTGGTCACAGCCTTGGTCCTGCCACCAGGCCACCCGCCCTTTCCATCAGTGAAGCCTCTCCTGACCTGAACCCACGGCTGCTCTTACCGGGCCCCAAGTGTGTGGCTCCGAGGACACGTTAGCTCAAGGACTCGCAGGGGGCTCTTCTGGCTCGCTGGTGTCCTCAGCCCGGGGAGCAGCCGCTTCCCCTGCTGCCCGCGGGCTTGCCGGGAGCAGCGTACCCACTTCCCTTGGGCACCCGACCACCAGTTGGATGGTTTCTCCTGGCTCCGAGTGCTGGGGTCTGAGATGAGGCGTGGCGAGGACTCAGTTCAGCTCGCCTCCTTGCTGGGTGCCGGGCCACCCCCCAGGCCTGTCTGCAGCAGGACACTTGGCTCGGTCATTAGGTCTCCACCCTGATGGGCTCCCGTTGGCCCCATCACTAAGCACCGTGGGTGTGGCTGTGCAATTCTTTCTGAAGCATTGTGTCCAGCCCACAGCCCCAGGGTGGCACTCACAATCCCTTGGTGGGTGAGGCCAGGGCTCATGCTGGTCAGAACTCAGCACCATTCCTTCTCGCTGTCACGAACCATGTGACCCAAGCCCCAGCAAAGGACAGTCCTTGCAGGAGAGGCCCAAAGTCAGGCTGCCCTCAGGGCCGGTCCTTTCCAGGCTGTGTGTGTGGTGAAGGGACACTCCCCCTGCCTTGTCCCCCGCTCCTGGCAGGTGTCCAGGGACCTTTAACGTCCTTCGGCTGGCAGGTGTACCGCTCTGCCTTCATATTCACTAGGTGTCCTCCTGACGCAGGTGCATGTGCCCACTGCCTTCCCATGACGACCTTGTCTCACACCGTTCCTGCCACATTCTCTGCTGTCCAAATCAGACCTCATCCTAGGGCAGTGAGCAACTGAGGCTGCAACTCACAAACGCTGGGGACACGATTCACCCCATGCGGCCCTGGGCTCCAGAGGCTGGCCCCTGAGTGCGTGACCTTCTCTGATGTCCCCAGCTCCAAGCCAGGGCAGCCTGTCCATGCGACTGCCTCTGTCGCTGCCCCGGTCCTCGTAGCAGGTACAGCCACCATGAACTCAGGTGAAAAAAAGGGGGGGTGTCCCTGCTCCAGTGACCCCCGCTGCCCTGGGGAAACCCTTCAGGTGCCCTCACTGCCCCCTCCCTAGACCCTGTTCAGGAGGGCCTCGGCTCCACCCGGAAGTCCCCAGGTCCCTGCCGTACCTCTGCGCAGCCCCACAGTGGCTCCGAAGCCTCAGCCGGGGCGGCCCACAGTCCCGGGGCCGCAGCGTGAGAGAAGTTGGAGCCCTCCAGGATTCGCTGTCCACTGTTGGGGAAGGATTCGCTGTCCACTGCGTGGGGACTCTTCCCTCTGTGCCCTCGTGGTGCTTTGTCCGCCGTTCACACATTTCTCTGATGTGTCAATTCATTGTCATCTCACTGTGCTAAGCAGGCTCCACCTGACCCGGACCGACCCCCCAGGAGGGCGAAGACGCACCTTCGCGTGTTGAACCGAATGGAACCGAATGGAACGGAGAGCGGTCGGAGCTCCCAGGCCGCATCCCGCATGGGCTCAGCAGTGTGTCACTTGCAAACACGAGCGGCCTCTCGTAAATGTCCCACCGTGGCAGAAGAGGATCTTTGCCCTCTTCCGTCAGCTGCTGGACGTAACGAGGACTTGCCAGATGAACGGGGGCAATCGCAGAGATCCCCCGGGCCCGGCTCCGGTTTGGCCTGACCTCCGGCTCCTGTGCAAGCCCTCTCCCCAGGAGTTACCCCGGAGCTGCCCGGCGCGTGCTCCCTGCCAGCTCAGACGGGCTCTCTGCCCCGGGCGCCTTAGCACACATCTGCAGTGCTGTCCGAGTCCATGTCCTCCTGCTGCCTGCTGGCTCCCACCTCCATCCACCGCCTCTCCCCTCTCCCCATCCTTCTGTTCTCTTCAGATGTTACCTCTCTACAGAAGGAGAGCTTCCATCCACAGAATCACTCCCCAAATGGCCACACCGGCCAGGGCTAGACCAGGCGAGAGCCACGAGTTTCATCAGAGTCTCCCAGGTGGATGCGGGGGCCCAAGCATCGAAGCCATTGTCCCCTGGTCTCCCAGGTGCACTAGCAGGGAGCTGGACCAGAAGTGGAGCAGCAGGGGCTCAAACCGGTGCCCATACAGGATGCCAGCTCTGTAGATGGCAGCTGAGCCCACTATGCCACAGTGCCACCCCCACATCGTTCACCCACACGAACCATACTGCGTCCTGATGAGGTGTCCCAAGGCCAGTCGCTCGGTACCCGTGCTTTGTGTCCAGACAGTTGCTGACACAACCTGTAGATGCAGCGAGCTGGGAGTGCGGATGCCAGGGTTGCTTGGCCATTGAGTAGAAGCCAAGGTCCCCAGGCAATCCCTGGCGCTGTCCGGATGATGAGAGCTGGCACTGGCTCTCTTCCCAGGTCTCCCATGACCAAGCTGGACCACAGCAGGCCAGAGGCAGCACTTCACATCCTGGTCTTGCAGAGACTCTGTCCCCAGAGGACCCAGTCCCTGAAGACGACTCCTCTCCCAGGCCCCCTGCCCGGCTCCCCTCCCCCGGCTGCAGGGGCCGCAAGGGGCCGCACGCAGGGCCCTCCATCTGTCAGCTTCTCCCCAGCTCTGCGTGCACAGGGCGGCAGCAGAACACCACCCGAGCGATGGCTCACAGGCCCCACTTGTTTTCTCTTTCCCCAGCAGAAGCCTGTCTACACTTCAGTGCTTTTACATCCTTTATTAAGTGAGAACTCAGTCTATTTGATTTATAATTGAAAATCATAAACTATAGCATTCACCTACTGTTTCTGTGTTTCCGTGCACTGGCGAGGCGCTACAAGGCCATTTCATCACTCAGCCTGGTAATTGGCATGAACCCACATCAAGATGCGCCGTGGCAATCCCCGAGGCCCACTCGCGAGCTGATGCAATGCTGTGAGCCTGAGAGCAGAAATTTAGCAAAAATATTATTCCGTGCTGACTTACTCTCTAACTCTGGCTTCGTACAAGGTACTGGAGCACAAGGCCACTTCATTAGTGGGGGTTAAAGGAGGAGCGCTGGGCCCGCTTGGGAGACCAGCTGCCCCTGACGGGCACTCTGCCCAGCCCCCTCCCAGGCCTATCTGTGTGTGTCCTCACAGAGTCAGTGTGGTTGTAATACCTGACCATGCCCAGCTGGCTGCCGTCCACCCTGGCCAGTGTCTGGCAGGAACCTGGTTAGCAGGCCTGGAAAGAGGGGATGGGGTCTTTCTCTCGTCCTGTCTTTCTGGTTCTCTGTCCACTGGCACCTGAGCCTGGCTCCCGAGCTGCAAGTCCCGACTCATCCATGTGCATCGGGGTGCAGCTCGGTCTCTCCCCCAGCAGGTCCTTTGGTAACCTCAACCCTTTCACTCGAGCTCAGAGCAGGCTCGGCCGGGGTCTCCTGCACCACCATCTCTAAGCCCTAAGGGCAACCTGGACACGTGTGAGCTGGACTGAGCAGGGCCTCAGTCCTAGGGGCTGAGACACTGCCTCCCATCAGGGGCACACAGACACGGCCTCCCGTCGGACTTCCAGATGCCATTAAGTCACCAGGACAGAAGCTGGCAGAGCTGCCGAGACAAGAGCCAGGGGTGCAGCTCTGCCCACTGTCAGTCCCAAAGCCTGATGCGGGCAGGCTGGGGCAGAGCGGGGTTTAAATACTGTGGTAAAACCAACCAACAGATGGAATTAAGTGTGATTCTCAGAAATCGCCCAGACACATGCTGCAGGCACGCAGCACGGGCTCCCGGATGAGCTGCAGGCATGCGGCACGGGCTCCCGGATGAGCAGGTCAGGCTGGGCACAGCCGCCCGCCACGTGCATTCCTCCATGAACACACTTGACCTTGGCCCCCAGCACACAACGAGCCCGACGAGCTGGAGTCCACCTCGCTCTAAAGCTGAGGACCTGCTCAGTGAAGATGAATTTCAATAAAGCCGCTCATGAGACGCAACAGGTCCCAAACACCATCATTTCAGTAAGTGGCCGACATGACAAAAGTGATGGTGCCGTTCTGTGGTCCCCTGCAGGTGAGCCTGAGATCAGAGGGGCGCGCGTTGCACAGCAGCTCCCCCATGGCCCGCAAGCACGGGCAGCTGGCACACGGCTCTGAAGCCCAGGGTGGGGGAGAGAAGAGGAGCCAGCACCCGGGTCATGGCTGGTCTGGTCTCAGGAGTCTGGACTGTTACAATGAGCCAACACTAACAATGTGTACAAGAACCCCAAAGTAAGCAGACAGAAGAGCGGGGAGGAGCAACCTGGGCGCCTGAGGAAGAAGAGGTGGGAGAGGCCCTGGAGCAGGGTGTGCTGTGCAGGCTGCCAGGAAGCAGAGGCCCAGGCGCATGTGCGAAGGAGCGGATGGAGGCCAGGTACTTGACCACCCTGGGTGTTCAAGCACAGACAGGCACAGGTACCCAGGAAGCAAACAGGACACTCAGGACAGGAAGTTGAACTCCCTTAAAGTACCACTAGCAGCAGAACAGAAACGGGAAGAGAAGACAGGAAAGCAGGACTGGTCCGTGCCACAGGAGCCACGTGCATGCCACTTGAGCCGGACCAGGCCGTGCCACAGGAGCCACGTGCTATGTGCATGCCACCTGAGCTGGACCAGGCCGTGCCACAGGAGCCACATGATATGTGCATGCCACCTGAGCCGGGCCAGGCCATGCCACAGGAGCCACGTGCCATGTGCATGCCACCTGAGCTGGACTAGGCCATGCCACAGGAGCCACGTGCCATGTGCATGCCACCTGAGCTGGACCAGGCTGTGCCACAGGAGCCACACCACCTGAGCCGGGCCAGGCCATGCCACAGGAGCCACGTGCTATGTGCATGCCACCTGAGCCGGGCCAGGCAGTATCCCAGGGCCCAAGCACACACTACCTCAGAGCCCTGTCATTGGGTGAGAGGGCAGAGCTGTAAGTGTGACAGGGAGGGAGAGCGTCACAACCATAGTCCGCTTTCCCGTCCTCATCCCCCCAGGCCTCCTGCCTACGGAGCCGCTCCCGCAGGAACAGCTCTGCCCATCCCTGCAGGTGCTCCCTGGATCTGCCAGCTCCTCCTTTTGGGGGGCAGCAAGGCGTCTAGCTAAGAGTGCTGCAGGGTGGAGGGGACCCCAAGGAGGCTGTGAAGCACCGGCCATGGCTCACCCCCAGGCTGACTGCAGGGCTGACGAGGGCCCACACCACGATGTGGCTGTTCTAGAGGCTTTTAATAACGAGCTTAGTGGTTGCCATGGAAACCACCGTGCATCTTTAGCATCTCCCAGGGGGTAGACGTAACATCCGGTGGAACTTTGACCAGAGTCTGTCGCCTCTTCCGCGGGTGTCCCGGGTAGTGAGGCATGATGGGCCCGAGCACACGGCTGTGGCTGCCCCCAGCTCTGTCACACGGCCACCCTGGGGAGGCAGGCACAGCCACCTGTCAGGCACCAGCCTGTGGCACCTCAGAAGCATGGCCCCCAGACTGTCCTCACTGTATGGGCAGCCATCATGGGATTCCTTGTGACAAAGATCCCAGGGCCCAAAGACAGAGCCTGGAAGATTCCAGAACAAGAGGTGGGCATATATTCACAGTTGCCAGGGGAGGGATCGACCCAAACATGCCCTGACAGACCAACGGACAGGCAAGGCACGGCACGCACAAGCAGTGCCATTGGCTTGGGTCGTGGGGAGGAGGGACTCCCAAGCATGCTGCCAGCAGGGTGACATGGACACAGGGCTGTGTGGAGGATACAGAGACGGCACCTGTGAGCCCACCCGGACCTGAGCGTGGGGTGGGAACGGAGCCTCAGGGCCGTGGGAAGGTTATGGAGACGTTGCCCGTGTGTCTGCTGGGGCCTGAGCGTGGAGGTAGAGGACGGAGCCATCAGGGCCGTGGGGCAGTGGCAGAGGCTGGTGGTGTGTGTGTCGGGTACAAGGGTATGGGGTAGCAGAGCCCTGTGTCAGCGACGCCTGCACAGCCACGTGAGCCTCTGTGACTGAATGAACACTCCAGCAAGTTTGATGCTACGCAGTCTGCCACGTTGAGGAAATGTGCAGGCCAGAGTGTGCATGGCACACTGTGCTTTCACTGCAGCACTGGCATTTCGCACGGGCACCAGTTCTTGTCCCGGCAGCCCCACTTCCCATCCAGCTCCCTGCTGTGGCCTGGGAAAGCAGTCAAGGATGGCCCAAAGCCTTGTAACCCTACATCCACATGGGACACCTGGAAGAAGCTCCTGGCTCCTGGTTCAGATGGGCTCAGCTCTGGCCATTGCGGCCATTTAGGGTGTGACACAGCAGGTGGAAGATCTCTCTCTCATGAGGACTCGGGAGAGCGGGACATGGTCACCTCAGAGCTTCAGCTGGAGTGGCCGGCAGCCCGCTCAGCCGGCCCATTGGCAGGTGCCCCAGCTGTGTGAAATGCGGCAGAAGGGCTGCTGGGCAACAGGGCTGCTGGGCAACAGGGCTGCCTGCACTTGGGGCACCAGCAGTTGTGGGCGGGCAGGCCCAGCGGTGGGGACAGCAGGTGGAGCAGGCACAGATC